GGCGGTATCAACCCTCCGTCATAGGGTTCTGAGGGCCGGAGTTTTTAAGACCTTTTAAAGAAACGAGGAGGTTTGGGGGCTTGCACTCCCACCCCCGCCGCCCTCGCAAGCTCACAGGTTGAGTTGAGGAGAAGCAGCTGAGGGAGATCAAAGCGGGAGAAGGCGGCACGGCGGCGGCGGCGCGGCGCCCCCCCATCCCCACGCCTCCGGGTCGTGCGTACCGCCTTCGGGCGTGCGAGTGTCCCCCCAGCGGGTCTGCTCTCCAGCAGACGCTCCGGTAATCAGGCCGAGAGTACCAGGCAGGTGGGGAGAAGAGCCCAGGGAGGGGAGAGGAGAAGAGCCCAGGGAGGGGGGAGGAGAAGAGCCCAAGGCGGCCTCCCTCTCCCTCCCCTCCCACCGGGCCTCCCTCTCCCTCTCCTCCCACCGGGCCTCCCTCTCCCCCTCCTACCGCCAAGCACCATCAGTCTCGAGGGGCCAGCCGCTGGAAGGGGCAAGCCAGCGGCACGAGGGCTTCAGCCACACAGCTACCAAGGGAACGCGACCCACACAAAGCACCAAAGTTAGGCATACCCCCCGGCGCAGTGTCCCCCACTATGTGTCGCCGTTCGTCGGGGCACGCTATCCTGTGCAGTCAGGGCAAGTGGGGGCGGGGTGGACAGCCCAGGCCAGATGCCCTGGGATCTCTCTGCCCAGTCCGGGGGTGCGTCGAACCTTCCATCACCCTGGGAACGTCCGGGTTTTGGAAGTAAAGATATATTACTTTTTGGGGGCTTAACTTGCCATTTAAGAGATTGCAGGCACGGGGGGTCCCTCTTTTAAGACCGCTTAAGAAAATCGGCCTCGCCGGCATGCGTCGCTGGGTTCCACGCCGTTTTCTCCAACACCGCCGTTATTAGGCACAAACCCGCCTCTGAAGACACATCTGTAAGTCTGGTGCACTGGCAGGAGCCATACTCGCATATAGGGGACGCGTGCTAGCTGACTGTACGGGCCAGCTTCCCGGCCTCCGGCGTCTACGCGCCGGGAGCCTCCGGGAGCCTCCCGGACCATCGACCTCGGGAGCTCTCCCGCACCGTTTAAGCGTTTAAGACCGTTTAAGAATTGGCGGCCCAGCAGCTCTTAAAACTTGCCCGGGCAAGTTTTAAGCCGTTTAAGCCGCAGGCGCCCCAGGCAGGCGCCAGGGCCCACCCTTTTTTTTAAGCCTAGGGGTCCCCTAAGCTGCAAGACTCGGCGCGGGGGCCGGGGGGAGAGGGGGAGTACGGTCACCTGCCCCTGCAGCTGTTCGGAGGGAGCGAACTGTCCCCAACCCATTCAACCACCCCCGGACCGTAGAAAGCATGCAAAGTGTTGGTGGTTCGAAACTTCCTTCTTCAGCTCTCGGAAGCCATGCTCGCACCCCTGAGTGCGACCCAGTACGGCCCTCCGTCCCGGCGACAATTCTTGCCACGCGACTCACCTTTGGGGCCGAGACTAGACGGCTACCGACCTGGTCGTCCTCATGCCGCTCCGCTGATGCCAGCACCGATTCGAACGCAAAGCCCTTTGGCCGTGGGCCAGCACTTGCAAATTGGCTTGGCGGGAGAAGCGAAGCAGACGAACGGCCGGTTGCCATCGCAGGCTCCGACGCCACATCTAGTGGCCCGTCGTCTAGCCCTGGCAGTAGCTAGTGGCTAGTCGACTAGAGACCTAATAGGCTAATAGGGACGTACATACCGTGTGGCAGCTACCAATCTGCCTGTCGCTCGCGGCATGTACCATGTTCATCTCCAGCTGGCTGCTTGCATGGGGTTTCACTTGCTTTTTCCGGCTGTTACTGACGGAGAGGAATTCACGGAGATGGTGCGTCTAGCACGAGGAAAGCCCGGCGCCGAAAGAAAGAAAGAAATTCGTTGAAGGGAGAGAGGATGGGAGAACGCCGACATTAAAATCCCTGTGTGGTGGCGGCGTGCCGTCCTCCCATCCCTCCCTTGGGTTGTCTGTTTTCTTTCTTTCTTTCTTTAGAACGCCGACAGGCTTGCTGCCGGCTAGGATTCCGTGAGCAAAGAGAGAGAGTCCGGCGTGAGGACCGATGGCGAAGAAGAAGGTGATCGGCGAGCAGAAGCCTGCAGTTGTCTCCCGCTGACGCGCGGCCCGTGTCCACAGGGTGTCCAAGTCATACGACTCGTCAGCCAAGCCGGCACCGGCTACTTCTACACAAAGCTCAAGAACTTCAAGGCAGGCGTCGAGAAGCTGCAGCTCCTCAAGTTTGATCCGATCGTGAACAAGCGCGTGCTCTTCAAGGAGGAGCGCATCAAGAAATGAGGAGAGAGCGCCGCTCGCGGGGGGTCGGGGGCGTCGATGGGGAGGGAGGCGGCGGCGGTGGCGCAGGCGGCGGTGGCACGGGCGGTGGCAGCAGCCGTCGCTCACGGCGGCGTGGCCAGCGCGCCGCGAAGGCCCGCTCCCTCAGGGACGGGGTCGCGACCCTGCCGATCCCGCCGATTGGTCAGAACAGCAACTCGACCTTGCTGAGGCAGCTCTGCCCGTCGCGCGAGTACAAGTCGTGCTTTGGCGCCGCCGTCGCAGCGCGCTACACCGTGCGCGAGGTCTTCCGCGGGCGCGTCGACGATCCAGAGGGCGCGGCCGAGCGGGCTCCACGTACCATCCCCTGCCCCTCCTCCTCCTCCTCCTCCTCCTCCTCCTCCTCCTCCTCCGCCGCCGCCGCTGCCACCGCTGCCACTGCTGCCGGTTCCGCCGCCACCTCCTCCACCGCCTCCGCCTCCGCCTCCGCCTCCGCCTCCGCCTCCGCCTCCGCCTCCGCCTCCGCCTCGCCCGGAACGAGCTTTGTCCTCGCCGCGCTCCGCACTGCCCCAGAGCAGGAGCACGCGCTCGCCGTCGACAGCGCGGCTGCGGCCGCGGCGCAGGGGGCGGGTGGCAGTCCGGTCGAGACGCTGCGGCGGCTCGCTGGCGAGCTGGCGGCCCGTGGCGAGCTGGCGCGAGGGGAGGAGGAGGGGTCGCCGCCCTCGGCGGGGGGGGGCGCGGGGGGAGGCGGGGCGAGGGGCGGCTCGGGAGCGGCGGCTGCCTCGCCCCCCCTCCGGCGCGGCTGCTTCGTGCGGGAGCTCGACTAGTCAACTGATTAGCCCGTGAGTAGTCACTGGGAGTAGGTGCGACAGCCGCGTGCGCGAGCTCAACGCGCGCGCCACGCTGCTGCTCGGCGTGCCGTCCCTGCCGGGCAGCCGGGGGCGGGCGCGCCGCTCCTCCGCGCGCGGGTCGTGGATGCGGTTCGGCGCAGTGGGCGACAGTGCGGCCGTCTGCTTCCTGCTCTCCGCCCTGCACGCGCCGGGCGAGATGGCGCGGCTGGCGGCGGAGGCGAGGCGGCACCGAGACATGCTCTTCCTGCCCGTCGCAGAGTCGCACATGCTCTTTCGGCAAAAGACGCGCTACTCCAACTTCAGCTCCCGCGGGCGCGGCATGCCCACCTTCAAGCAGTACGCCTTCTTCCAGCACGCGGCGGCCCACCTCCCCGACGTGCCCTTCGTCGGCAAGGCGGCACCGCCACCGCCACCGCCACCGCCGCTCGCCTCACCCCCCCTCTCGCCCCCCCCCTCTCACCCCCTCCTCCCTCCCCCCACTCGCCACCTCCAGCA